GAGGAGGAGGAGGAGGAGGAGGGAGAAAAAGGGAAAACATGAGCGAGAAACCAATCCTTGACACTCATGCCTCCTCCTCCGTCTTCCTGTTCCTTCTCCTCGTCCTCTCCCCTCATCAGTCCTTCTAGCTCCTCGCGGACTCTGGACACCGCCCTCGCGTGCCGCTGCGACCCCCAGATAACAATCCCGCACTGCTCCGCGCGAATCCTGGACTTCGCCCTAATCGTTTGCGGACACGTCCCATTTTGGGGATTCAATGTTTTCATGCCAGCTAGCGGGGTCGGGCTCGGCCAATTTCTTCCCGACCTGTCATCCCCCGTGGCGCGGGCGGGGTCGGTGCAGATCCGGGCAATGCCAAGGGGAGTCACCGCTGAGGTGGTTGCCACCTCCTCCAGGACACGACCCCCCACCCCCCCCCGACCTGACCGCCCCCAAGCGCGCACAGAAAAATCCATCACCTCCTCGATCCTCGATCCTCCATCCTCTTCGATCCTCGATCTCCAAATCAAAAAGTAAACAAGCAACTGCATGCACATCGGCTGTCGGCGCTCCGCGCGGAGTTCTTGGATCGGCGCTGGACCCCCCACCCTGGCGCGCTGAGCGCGCAAGAGGCAGCGCCAGAGGCGCCGCCACGCGGGGTCCAGCGCAAATCCAGACGCTTCTGCTTATACAGCTGTTCTTTCTTCGATCCTCCCCGATCCCTGCCGTCCAGGCTGGAGGCCTCCCATATGGGATTTGGCATGCCTTACTCAAGTGGCTGGAGCCTCCAATCTATCTTCATCCATCTTCCCTCATGCTAGAGCCTTCCGATAGGATGCCTTCGGATGCCTTCTTCGATCCTCCCCGATCCCTGCCTGCCATAACCGGAGTAGACGGGGTCGGAGAATCTCGCCGCATCGCCGATACATCGGCGATGCATCGTCGATGCACTGACGAGGGCCGGCGATGCATCGGCGACATCTGCGTGGAGAAGATCGCGCTGGGCATCGAGCGGCGCGAAGCTCCGACCCATCTGCTTCGACTCTCTGGTAGGCCTCAACAGGAGGAGGTGGTGACCCGCCTGCTGGGGACACCCCGCTGGCACTGCCCGACAAGCGCACAGCTTTTGAGTATCGTTTCACCGATCCTCATCCCCAGCGGCGTGGCCTGGGCCCCACTGGCCGATGTACCCCCCCCTAGATGGGGAGACAGGTCGTTCCCTTCGGGTTTCGAGGGGTGTATCCCCAACTGGGATGGCAATTCGCTGGGGGCCTCGAAGGGGATGGGGATGGGGATGGAGCCCACAAAGGACGTACGCGCCCAGCTATGTACATGAACGCGGCCCCTCGATCTGCGAGACGGGCCGCACTGTACGACTACTTGCGCATCGCGTACTCTCGAAACCAGCGTGGATTCATGTACGTGTACGTCCTTCTTTCGCTCCCGGGATGGGGATGGGGCTCGGTGCAACGGTGCCGAGCCTTGGCGCTCCCCCGGGCGGCCTGGCAGGATCGAGAGGATGGGGATGGGGATGGGGATGGGGATGGGGATGGGCATGGGGATGGGGATGGGGATGGGGATGGGGATGGGGATGGCGAAGGGGGATGGCGAAGGGGATGGGGATGGGGATCGGTGAAACGGTGCCGAGCTCTGGCGCTCTCCCTGGCGGCCTGGCAGGATCGAGAGGAGCTGCTGGCCCCGCGGTCGGCCGTCCACGCCACGGCCCGACCCGCCAGTCGGGTGCGTCCGAGGAGGGGGGTCGCAGATCATGGCCAGGGGCACGTGCCCAGACGAGTAGGAGGCCAAGGAGTGCATTGCATAGAAGAAGAAGAAGAAAAACGTATAATAATCAAACACATCATAATGATACTAACAAGAAGAAGAAGAGAAATAAGAAGAATAATAATAATAAGAAGAAGCAGAGGAACAAGAAAACAACACACAAACATCCACGAAATCCGCACGGAGCGCCAAAAGTCGAAGGTTCATGGGTTTTTCTTCGATTGAAAGAAGAAGAGAAGAAGAGGGTTCCGGGAGATCCGGGGAGATACCATGACCCCAGCCATGATATCCACACACCCCTAGTCATCACCCCCCTCTTGGCAGCTCCCGACATGGGGGGCCAGGAGCCAGCCGGGCACTGGCGACGAGGAGACTGCCAGGGGCGGCGATAGGACGAGCATGCTGCCATGTTGCCAGTTGTTCAGGAGGCTTTCCAGGAAACTTCTTGAATATCTAACAGAGCTCGCTTCTGGAGCCCATGAGGAACAACAGGACATGTTGCAGAATCCTGCATATATTGGAGCCATTCTCTTGATTGCACGCCGCACACAACTTCCTTAACGTCGTGCCGTTGGAGTTTCCAACCTTGGGATGTGCTCCTCCGATGTGCCACCAGAGGTTGTGCACAAGTGATCCGTCGCACGCCCTGTGCATTCCAACGTCGCTCGTATGTCCCCTCCAACAACCACCGTCGTTCGACTCCCCAATTTGCCCATCGCCTCCTTCAGCCAAGTCGGTATGCTAGTTGCTATTTGAGGGTGAGAGTGCATGTGACGTTTTGCGCAGTAGGACGTGAATAATGTGTAGTGAATCTTGCCAGTGCAGATCCTGATCCTTGATACACTTCCCTGCAATCCAGCTGGCGGTATCAAGCATCGTCTGGCTAAGCAGCGCAGCTGTCCCGCAGTATTTGTTGTCATCATGCGCCCCTTTTTTACCCCCCATCCTCAATACCCAGTGGTGAGGCAGAGTGCGCTTGGTAACTTGTTCGTCTTTGCCCCACTGCGCCGCAGCACAGCATCCCATGATTTAAATCCACTGCTTCTCTCTCACAATCTCTCGTGCATGTACGCGGAAAACGGGTAGCACTAGCAACTTCTCGTCACAAGACGGGGTGTAACAGTAGATAATGCGTTACGCATGTGCTCATGCGCGGGTCCCTTCCCTCCTGCCCTGAGATCTGGGGCGGCGTCTTAGCGTACGTCGGCTGGGCGTATGCTGCACCGCTCGTTATCGTCGCTCAAAATGGTCTGAGCTTCGACATACCGACAGGAGGAGGAGGAGGAGGAGGAGGAGGAGGAGGAGGAGGAGGAGGAGGAGGAGAGGAGGAGGAGGAGGAGGAGGAGGAGGTAAAATGAGGAGGAGGAGGAGGAGGGGTAGGAGGAGGAGGAGGAGGAGGAGGAGGAGGAGGAGGAGGAGGAGGAGGAGGAGGAGGAGCAACAGCAGGAGCAGGAGCAGGAGCAGGAGGAGGAGGAGGAGCAGGATAGAAACTTGAGGAGTTTGCCCGGCTGGCTCCCCGGGACCCCCGGGGTGGATACCCGACCGCGGGTGCTGACCCTCGCGGGTCCCCACCGTCTTCAGCATGTACCGCATCCCCGCGGAGATCAGGAACCACGACTCCGACTTCCCCGCGGCGCTGTCCTGGCGCGGCGGGTGGGGCTCCAGCGGGGAGGGGGAGACAGAGCCCAGACCTCCCACGTCGTGGCTCTTCTCGAACCGTGCTTCGCGGGAGGGCTCCAGGAGGAGAAAGAAGAAGAGTCCCACGATGGGGACGGGAAGCCCCAGCCCGCCCCGCCCAGCAACTGCTTCGCCCGAGACTACTCAAGAGTCGTGCTCTCGCGCCAGTGCGGGCTACACCTCTGGCCTGGACGGCCGCGATCCCTGGTCAAGAACTCACAGAAGGTGCGCAGGACCGTGCTCTCGCTGCCGCTCTGGCGGCATGGCTTGCTGCTCTTGGGCGCTCTGCTGTCACAGCATGACTTCCCAGAGGCCTGGCTCCCTTCCCCGGGACCAGATGTTCATGCCGAATGAGGGCTCCCGAAGGCCGAAGATGAGCAAGAACCGCCCATCGCGATTTGTCATAATCATGGGGTGTCAGGTGGGGAGGAGAGAGGGGAAGCAGGAGCGAGGGGAAGGATGAGACTCACCTTTCCGTTCCGGGCCTGGCTTATGCAGCGCATGTTTGTGAGCGTGCCGTCGCTCTTGGACCCGAGGACTGCCCGGTACTCCACCTCCGAGGGGCTCCCGCCACACACGGCGAGCTGGCTCTCCTCCTCCCTCCTGCCCTCCTCGCCCTCCCCCTCCTGCGCCTTCCTCGCCCCCCTCCTCCCTCGCCCCCCTCCTGCCTTCCTCGCCCTCCCCTCCCTCACTCCTCCCCCCGCCTGCGCCCACCTCCCTCCTGCATCCTCCTCCGCCGTGGCCAGCACGGACCGCGGCACAGCCACGAGCTCTCGGAGGCCCGCGCCGAGCTCCTGGATCGGCGCCGGGGCCCCCCCCTGGTGCGCGAAGCGCGCCAGGGGCGGCGCCCGAGGCGCCGCCGGGGGGCCCCAGCGCAAGTCCAACATATCCGAGCAGAGCTCCGAAAACCCATGCTTACTTGCATCGCATCCTCGGGGAACCTCGTCTGTCCCGTCGCGACCCTATCCGCGTCGAATCCGTGTCGAATCCATGTCGGCCTCGTCGGATCCGTGTCGAATCCGTGTCGAATCCGCGTCGAATGCCCGCCAAATCCGCATCGAGGCCGCATCGAGCCCGCGCCAGGCACAAAAAAACACAAATTTTGGGGACAGGCAGGGTCCCCCGAAGATGCAACATAAGTTTACTACGTCTTGTCCTTCGAGATCCTTGCATGTCTGGCGACGCCCCCGGCGCCGATCCAAGATATCTGCGCGGAGCCCAGAAAGTCTACGTTCCTGCGGTGTTTTCTTGTCCGAGCTGTCTCGCCTTCCTCCTCTTCGCCTTGCATCCTCACTTTGGAAACCCAGAAGTACCGATACCGCTACTCCACGTCCCTTTCCTGGGGTGAGTTCAGACCAGAATCCCACCAGCCCTTTAGGGCGTGAGTGGTTTAGCGAGCCCCCTCTGTCCTCAACCCCCCTTCTTCCCCTTCGGGGAGGGGTTTACCCCTCCCCCTACCCCCTCCCCCTGGGCCTGGAGAGGGAGTCCGGCGGGTGGTCAGGGGGGTCTTTTTCGACTCCTGGGAGGGCTAAAAAAACGACGACCCTCACGAGGATTCTGGCCCCGACGGGGGGACGCTCTTGGAGCCCTCTCCTCTTCTGTGAAGCCAAAATCCTTGCTTTTACGAGGGTTTTGGCCCCATTTAGGCCTCCCGAGGGGGCCGCGCTCATCTTCCTTCATACCAAAATCATTGATTTTACGAAGGTTTTGGGCTCATTTTGTCCTTCTCAGGGGGCAGCGCTTCTTTGCGCTTCTGAGGAGGTCGCAAGAGGCCCCAAGATGGCCCCAAGAGGCCCCCAGGAGCCTCCCAAGAGGCCTCCAAGAGGCCCCCAAGAGGCCCCCAAGAGGCCCCAAGAGGCCCCCAAGAGGCCCCCAAGAGGCCCCCAAGAGGCCCCCAGAGGCCCCAGGAGGCCCCCAAGAGGCCCCCAAGAGGCCCCCAAGAGGCCCCCAAGAGGCCCCAAGAGGCTCCAAGAGGCCCCCAAGAGGCCCCACGAGGAGCCCGAACGACTCACACCAGGACGAGGGGCCCGAACGACTCACACCACGAAGAGCCCGAACGACTCACACCACAAGGAGGGGCCCGAACGACTCACACCAGGACGAGGCGCCCGAACGACTCACACCACGAGGAGCCCGAACGACTCACACCACGACGCGGGCCCCGAACGACTCACACCACGAGGAGCCCGAACGAGTCACACCAGGAGGAGGGGCCCGAACGACTCACACCAGGATGAGGGGCCCGAACAACTCACACCACGAGAAGCCCGAACGACTCACACCAGGACGAAGAGCCCGAACGACTCACACCACGAAGAGCCCGAACGACTCACACCAGGAAGAAGGGCCCGAACGACTCACACCAGGACGAGAAACCCCAAACGACTCAAATCACGAGGAGCGCTTTCTCTCCCTCCTCCTCCGCCTCGTCCTTCTCCCGCTCCCCCCACAAGGAGGATGTACAAGGAGGCGGGAGGAAGGAGGGACAGGGGAGATATGCGGGGCCAAACGGACACACGCCTGAAAAACACGACTGTCGGCATGCTTCGCATGAGTTGCTGTTGTGAGATGGGCTGGTGGGGATACGCGAAGCGTAAAGAATTTCGTGGCGAATCCAGCGGTGGCGACGAGGGCCTCCCAGGAGGCCGCCCCCTAAGGGGAACACAAGAGAGATCAGCACGGGTACCTCTTCCTCCGCTGACTCCCTCCCTCCGTCTGCCTCCTTCTCCAGCTCCTCCTCCCTGTGTTCCTCCCCCCTCTCCGCTTGCTCCTCCCTTCTTCGCCCTCCCTGGTCTTCGCTCCCTCCCCCACTCCCTCGCCTCCCTGCCTGCTTGCTCGAGGGGCAACGCTTGGGGGGCCCCAGCTGAGGGGGGGGAAACGCTGACTTGCATTCGGCGGCACGTCGCCAACACATCATCGATAGCGACGGCGGCCACATAGCCACCAGAGCGGCTCACCGGCCCAGACGACGGGCGACGACGAGGCTGCGACGGGGTGGCGACGGCGGCGGCCACATAGCCGCCAGAGCGGCACACCAGCCGAGTTCGGTAGAAAACAATTAAAGAAGCCCCAAGTGCAAGCACTGTTTGGGGAATTACTCTCACAGAAATCAATATATCCATCTCACGATCTGTCCATCCGTCTCATTATGTTCTGTCTCTCTCTCTCTCTACGGGACACGACCACAGGACAACCATAGGGTAATTTCAGGACGACCACGACCAACCACGAGACAACGACGGGACAACGGGGGCTAAACATGGGACCGCCATCGGGACAACCACTGGGACAACCATTGGGGCCACGTCAGGGGAAACCATCGGGACAACCATCGGATCAACCATCAAGGCCACCATCGGGACCACCGTCGGGACAACCATCGGATCAACCGTTGGGACAGACATCGGGAGGACACCCATCGGGACAACCATCGTGACAACCAACAACAACCCTTGGGACAGCTGCGGGACAACCGCGAACCACCGCGGGACAACCCGCCGTTCACGCCCCAGAAGGCCGGACATCGACTCTGTTTGGCGTCGCCTGGGCTTGGCCAGCACAGGAGCTCGCGCTGCCTCGCCACGCCCGCACGCGCGACACTGGCCGAAGCCGAAACCGCTTTCCTGGTTGGGCGATTCCGTTTCCCTTCGGTCTGCCCCCCCCACGACCACCAACGACATTCTCCTCCTCCTCCTCCCTCCTCCTCCTCCTCCTCATCCTCCTTCTGCCTCCTTCTGCCTCCTCCTCCTCCTCCTCCTCCTCCTCCTCCTCCTCCTCCTCCTCCTCCTCCTTTCCCTGTTCCCGCCTCTTGCCTTCCTCGCCCTCCCCCATTCCGCTGCTTCCTTCAACTCCTCCTCTTCTGTTTCCCCCTCCTCCTCCTCCTCCTCCTCGTCCATCCTGCCCTCCTCCTCCTCCTCATTATTTTTCTCCCTCCTCCTTCCCCTCCTCCTCTTTCATCTTGAGGAAGGGAGGGAGGATCGGCATGGGTGGGGCAGGGAGAGCGCCCGCGACCTCTTCGACGCCGAAGGCCGACCGCACCTGCCTGAAGTACTCGCGGTCGAACTCCCGCATCACCGGAGAATGGCAGGAGTAGGAGGGAAGAGTCGAGAGGAGGACAGGAGAGGGAGAAGGGAGGGCAGGGGAGGAAATGCTAGAAGGATGAGAGATGAGGAGGAGGAGGAGGAGGAGGAGGAGGAGGAGAAGGAGGAGGAGGAGGAGGAGGAGGAGGAGGAGGAGGGGAGGAGAGGAGAGGAGAGGAGAGGAGAGGAGAGGAGAGGAGAGGAGAGGAGAGGAGAGGAGAGGAGAGGAGAGGAGGACAGACCAGAATGAAGCCGTCAAACATCAGCGACGGTGTAATACGCCCTCCCGTCCCAATCCCCCTCCTCACAAGGTCCTTACAAGCCTTCCTATTCACCACGAGAAGCGCTCCAGTGAACGATGCGCACCGCGCACCCTCTTGAACTGCCGTTGAAACGGTACCCTTCGAGTAGCCAATGTGGAATGCGAAAAGCTGGGACCAGAAACGTTCACCGAGCGTCCAGCGGGAGCCCCGTTTCGAGAAGGGGGGCCTCCCCCCCCCCCCCCCGTGCAGCGAGCGCGCAGGGCGGCACTTCTGGCGGACGAAAACCCGAGGATGTCTGCCGCGAGACCGCGGACCCCCAGGCTTGCAAGGAGACTGGCCTCCACCCGTGCAGCTGTTGCACGGGCTCACCCTTCGGGTCGCGGCGAGGTCAGGGACCTCCAAACCAGAAGCCACTTGGCTGGAACTGTATGGCCCTCCGTCCCTGCAGCTGCCGCAACCGTTCAAGGCGCACGTGCTCGTCGCTCGGGCAGGAGCCCCGTTGTGGAAAGGAGCCGCCCTCCATCCGTGCAACTGTTGCGAGTTGTTTCTCACACGAGTGTACGCGGCACGAGAGGAGGGGCCCGACTTAAAAAAAAACCAAGCAGATCAATTCGCGCAACTGTGGGGACCTTTTGAAACGAATGTTCGCGGCGTCAAGGCGTACACCACATTTGGAACATTGACTGCGTTCCATGCGTGTAGCTGTTGAAAGCTATTAGGACGTATGCGAGTGACACTGAAGCGAGAGCACAAGAACCTCTCACATACTATTCCTGTAACTGCTGTGCACTTGTAGGAACCATGTGCGCGGGACAAAGGCGTGAGCCCGACTTGAAAACGATCTTCCTCCATCCGCGTGCACGATGCAAGCTTTTAAGACGAATGTGCGCGGCGATATGGTGGGAGCCCCATGTTGAAAACAACCCCCGCTGCATCCCTTGTTACTGTAGCAACTTCCCATCTTCAGGATGATACATGGCAATGAAGTGTCCGACGAAACGCCCAGCCCACCCTATCGAAATGTCAGGGGGTGCAGGAAGGGGGAGATGCCGATGTGAGAAAAAAGATGCAGGATGAGAGGGTGACAGTGATGGTGGTGATGTCGAGGACGAGGATGAAACCATATTTTTTGGAAGGGAGAGGATGGGAGCGGACCGCATGCTTCAACAACCGCTGTCGCAACGCCGCGAAAGCACTGATCGGATAATTCTTCCTATCCGCGGGGCCCGAAGAGAGGCTAACAAAATGTCCCCCCCTGGGCTCCCAGAGGTTCACGCAAAATGCCTGTACAGCACCAATGAATCAACTCAAACGCGTACACAAGGCGTCGACAAAGTGTGGCTCTTTTCTTCGCCCAGCGGGCAGCGGAGGAAAGAAGGACAGGCAAAAACTCGTTGCGGCGGACGCTGGGGATTAATTACCCTGCAGCCTCTACGCCGACTGGATTGTTTGATGCGAACAATCATCCTCTGCAGCAGTGGTGATGCGCCGGAGGGGGAGGGGAAGATGAGGCGGAAGGGAGAAAAGAGGAAGGAGAGAACAAACGGCCCCGAACTTTGGCTTCAAATGTGGAACGTAAGGAAAACAATAGCCGCAGGCTGGGGCTGGGGACTGCATCCCACACAAACCGAGCTGCAATAGGCAAACCCATGCGGTCAACAGCAGAACGAGTTGAGCCTATCCGCCAGAAAGCCGTTGTCTGGACTCCAGCACTGTGGAAGCCTGGTGATGGTATTAGGCTTCCCCTGATGCGCTTTGCGCTCCCCTGGCGACCATGTCGTGGGTGGGTGGGTGGGTGGGTGTGGGTGTGTGTGGGGGGGGCAAAACAGACCATGCTACGCAGACCAGTATTCGGATGTCGGCAGGCCTGGAAGCAGTGCAAGCAATGACCTTGGTGTTGCTGGAGAGGAGGAGGGGGCGAGGCTGCGTCCGAGGCGTCCCAGACAGGCTCGAAGCTGGCAGCCATGGGATTCGGATGAAGAGAAGGGGGCAAGAGGAACGGAGGGGAGGCAGAGGAGGAACGAAAGGCGGGAACCTGCACGCGCGGTCGGAAACAAGCACTCCGCCCTAACACCCGCACTGACGATACGCGGCGGTTGACTGGGCAATAATGGCACACCAGAGGCTGTATCTGACTACCTACCAGACCACCCCAACCCAACCCGAAGACCCGAATTTGACCCGAATTTCGGGTTGGGGGGGGTACGGACACCATGTGTTTTTTCAACGTTCCCCGACCCCCCCCCACTGGAAATGGAAGGCAAACTGAGGGCTTCGGGTTGGGTTGGGGTGGTTTGGTGGGTGGTGAGTATCAACTATCGCCGAGCGGGCGCCACGGGCAGACATGGGAGCGCGGGCCAGGAGCGGCTCCCGAGAGGGGCGCGTGTCCTGGGCAGCCGAACGTCTGCCAGCACGCCCTGGCCGTGCAGGCGGCACCAAGTGCCAACTTCATGCCAGGGCGACCACGCACCATGGACGCCCCAGAAAAAGGGGAAGCAGAGGGGGGAGGCGAGGCGGAGGAGGCGGAGGACGGAGGAAGAGAGGGGAAGAGTGCGACTGCACGCTCATGTCGAGCCTTTCGGAATCCCCACGGCCGCGGAGAGGACCTGCCGGCCAGGACCGACCGATCGGCGCCACGAGCCGGGGCGAGAGGGACGAGGAGGAGGACAGAGGAAGAGAGGGGAAGGGGGCGGCAGCACGCCCATGCCGACCCTTCGGGGCCCCCGCGGCCGCGGCAAGGACCTGCCGGCTGAGGTCGACCGATCGGCGCCACGAGCCGGGGGGAGAGGGGGCGAGGCAGAGGAGAGGGAGGGGGAGAGGAGCCTGTCTGGCAAACGCAGCGCGTCCACGGCTCAAAAGCTCACTGCCAGCGCGAAATCCAGCACGGCCGCGGCGCGGCGGCGTCCTCGAGCTGCCTCCCGAACGGCCTGCTCTCCGGAGCGCGGCGCACGACGTGCTCGTCGCTCAACGCCGCCCTCTGGCGACGGAGTCTGCAGCGCGGCCGGTCAGCCGCAGCGACCCGCAGGGCCCCAAGCGTCAGGCGAGGCATCTGTGAGCTCGGCCTGCGGTCCCAGCAGCAGGAACCGCAGGCGCCGCGCCTCGCGGTCCCGCCGGTGCGGGAGCCGCAGGTGGCCCGCTCCAAGCTCTGCGAGGGCGCGGCACACCGTGGCGTGCTCCACCGAGCCCCCGTCCTCGAGGCTGCAGGACAAGCGTGGCCGGCGGACGCTCGCCGCCCGCTGCGCGCGCAGCGGGGGGAAGAGCAGGATGAGAAGGGTAAGAATCGACCCCAGCAGGGGCGCATCGTTCGACCGTTGTTCGCTACTGACAAGTGGCGTGCACGGCCGCGGCCACTGCTGCGCTCCGTCAGGACTCAGAGCGCTGGGCTCCGTGGTCAACTGCTGCCTTCGTTGCGATAGGAGTGCGGTGCCAGCACTCAGAGCTGAATCGCGGCAGCACGATCGCTCAGGGAAGCGGCGATCTGGTAGTCGCTGTCGGCTCCGAGGCCGAGGAAGAGGGGATTCGACGGAAGACTAAGTGAACGGAAGAAACGGCAGCGAACAAAAACGGGAAATAATGCCAGCTCATGCGCCCACCGCGCTCTCGAAATGACCCAACAAAACGCGACCTTGCGCCCTCCGCACGCACGGGCATCGCCGTCGCAAGCGAGGGGCCGTTGAAGTTCATAGCGTGTCAATCGGGCAGCCAGCTTCGATCATGAAACCCTTCATGTGACGCCGCTGCTGTCCAGGTGGGAATATGTCAACATCTCCCACTTCAGTCGTGGTATTGAAGATGATGTGGCATCGCTCGTCCCGAAAGACCGCGTCTGGGATGTGCCCGCCATCTGGGCCAGCAGGATCTCCTGCCTGAAGCTGACGTGGATGAAAGATCGACTACTGAGATGGCTCGGCGACATCTCGGCGGGGTGTACTATGACTGACAAGAAAATGCTGGACGAAAACACGAGAGTCCAGGTGCGCCGGTCAATACTCTGCTGCTTGGCGATGCTGCGTCATGATGGCGGCTGAGACGACCGGAATATCCAATCGAATCCATCGCATCATGTCGAATGCCAGACACCTGACCTGCTGCCTGACACGCGCGCTTTGTGCGCAGCGCCGCTGCTTCATTCAGGGCGAGGGGGGTCGCAACCGAACCATGCGCTTTCGCGAACAGCCACGTCGCCCATAGCCGCGAACGGGTGATCCGGTAGAGGGATACAGGAAGACAGGAAGACTGCGGCCGAAGTGGAACTCATACAGCCCACCAAAATAAGTTTGCTCATTGAGGGGGAGGAAAATGTGAGCGTTTTCTTATTCGGCGTTTCGACATTGGGCGCAAGGGCGGGGAGGAGGGGAAGGGGGTCTGGCTCCGGACCTCTGCTCAATCGACTGGCTGCAACCGTGCGTTCCATGGGAAAGACCCCGCCTGCTCGAAACGGGCGCCAGAAACAGCCAGGGTCTGGTCCATGGGGGGGGTGCGATGACCCGCTCCGATCGGCAAAACAATAAATAAGAGAACGACCACAACACAAACAAATGCAGCATGAATGTTTGCTGGTTTCTTCCGAGGTGGGCGGCGGGGCCAGGGGCGCGGGGAAGACGACGCCGCCCTCCCGGCCTTCGTGGGCCGCCGAATCCGAAAAACGATGGCTTCGGGGTGTGTGTCGGGGATTCGATGTTGTTGCTACATGTGCGGCGTCGGAGGAGGAGAAGGAGGA